TTATGTGATGATACATCGTCTAGCCCACGCTGCCAGAACTGTCCTATACTTTTCGAGGGTATAAAACCTACTCATTAAGTGGATCCACTAGTCTATGCTTAAAAGCAATAAGAAATCATCTAATAAGTATGACCCTTTCTACCCACATTGACTACATGGTTTATGGGGGTTGTGAGTTGTTAGAACTCTCCCCCATATCAGTGCTCAATACTACTCCTAAAATATAACTTAGCTCATCTGTTTTAAAAAAAGCATTTCCTCTTTCACAACTTTGAGATTATTACTCAAAATATTTCTCTTAAAAGAAATAGTAATTAAAACTTCTCATGAACTCTTTTGGAAATCGGTGTTTTCTTTCATCTTATATGTATAAACATTTACTCTTGGGAATACTTAGTTCCCATACATCATTTTAAAAAAATGAACTCAACTCTACTCATCTTCATACTCATTGACCTAAGCCTTTAAACAAATTATAAATAATTTTAAAAGAATTCTCAAAATAGAGTTCATACCGAATTATGGACGTGAACGACTCAATTCAAGGTTTTCAATAACCATACATAGATATCAATACTCGAAACTCAAAAACTCTAGAACTCAAGGAAACAATGATACTACTCATCTAAGAAATGCTCGGCTCAGAGGGTTCATGCGGAAGTTATGGGCATGAACAACTCAATTCAAGGACCTTCATGGGTAACATGTAGTAGTCCCATGATTAAGAATATAATCTCAAAAGGATTAGGAACTCAATAATCAAGACATAGAACTTGAAGATACTACTCCTCTCAAAGATACTCAAATTATGGAGTTCATGCAAAATTTATGGGCATGAACAAATCGACTCAAATATCTCAATGATAATGTAGACTCATGAATACATTCTCATACTTAGTTACTCGAGTCTTGAAACAATTTACAAGTAATTGTAGAAGACTCTTCTGAAAGACTCAAAGGGACTTTCTCAAAAAACTCGAAAGAATTCTCAAGACTTGACTCTTAACTCTACCTTGAATTTGAATTATGAATTCAAGGTTATGATTCAGGTTATGAATGATTTCTCGATGTTTAGGAGTAGTTTAGAGTAGTTAGAATCAGAAGGGAGTAAAGGTACCCTTTGAAGGAACCCAGATGAGTCAAACGACAGAGAAAATGTGGGGGCAGGTGACCCTAGTGCACTGAGTGGCGCTGGGCGCCAGCCCTTGAACCACAGAGCACTTCTTCTGGCGCAATGGTGGGGCAGCGCGCCACCCCCTGCCCAGATTTCCCCGATGAATTTCTTTGCTCGTTTTCTGACCCTAGTTCGCCTAGATTCGAATGATTTCTTCTCCACTCACTTAGATTTTAATACCCAACATAAGTACACACTAATCTACTCAAAACAACCCTCAAATCACTAACTTTCATCTCAAGAATTCATCAAAACCCCAAGAATCAAGATTACGAATGGAATTTCAAGACAACTCATCAAGAACTCAAATCCTTCAACCTCAAGAACGGAATTTGCATTAAAATAGCATGATTGGCATGTGGATGAATGAACCCAATACTATGAGAACTCACATACTTATTAGGGATCAAACCCTTGGTGAAACAACCCTTTATCCGTAAGAAATTTCGATGAACGCCTTGAACCTTCCCTTTTTTCTCCTTTTTTCTCTTCTTGAAATCTCTTTTAAAACCCTAAGAGTAAATTAGGATTGTAAAACTGAACCAAATCAGTTTAGACCCCTAAAACCTTACTAAAAGCATTTTAAATCTGATAGGGTATGAAAACGACCAAAATACCCCTCACATTTTCGGGTAATTTTCCTTAACTGGACAGACAGACTTCAAACGGGCTTATCTCTCTCATTATGAGCTCAAAATTTTGCAAATTCAGTGGTGCTTGAAAGAAGATTCAACGACCTTTCATTTGATATCTTATGAGCCACCTAACTCAACTTGTACTGAAAGTTATGGTCGTTTGAAGCTGCCCCAAAACTTAAAGGAACTTAGGAATGACTTGAATGAATTTTCTTTAGTGACCTTATTAACACTTACGAAAATTTAAATTCCTCGGTAAATTCTTACTCACAACGAAGAATGGATCAAGTCTAAGCTCAAAAAAATTCCAGGGTGTTATCTCACTCCTTAAAAATAGTCTAAAATAGATTTCCCTAATTTATTCACTTCAAATCATATCACTCTCTCTCTCATCATTCTCCCCTCTCGACTCCTATTTTCATCATCCAATTCTCTCTCCTCATTCTCCCTCACACGATCTTCTTTGGTTAACCCATTCTAAAATAGAATGGAGCACTAAAAGTCAAATATTTGAGGTTTGTAACTGATTCAACTATTATTTCAGTCATGTATATGATTTTCTTAAAAATAGCTTTTCAATTAATATTTACTTCTAATTTTAGATAGTTATCCAGATTAAGGCTGGGCACCGGACCGGAATGGGACCACCGGACCGGAACGAACCGGTACCGAATCGGAACGGGACGGTTTGACCGGGTTGTTGACCGGTACCGGGATGAACCGGACCGGAACTACCGGGATGGAGGCTCGGTTCCGTCCCGTCCCCCTATATACCGGGATAGAACCGGGACGGACCGGAATGGACCGGAACGGAACGGGATAAACGGGACTGCACATATAGCTATTTCAAAAAATATTTTTTTTTTGAGTTATTTTGAATTACGAAAATACGAATGTTTTTTTTTATTTTTCTAAGTTATATTAGTTTATAGTATTTAAGTTTTAAAATTTATAATAATTTTACTTAAGTTTATTTTAAAGATATTTTTTTTAATTTTTACGTATATAAGTTTGTAAGTTAAGTTTAATAAAGTTTTTTTTTTAGTTTTTGAGCTTATGTAGTTATGTTATAAGTTTTAAAGATTTGAATCTTTTGAAGTTTATAAGTTATTAAGTTATACTTATAACTTGTAAGTTAAATAACTTAAGTTTGTAATTTTAAAAAAATTAAATAAACAAAAAGAAATGCTAATAAAAGTAAATAATGACAAAAATATTATTTTTTATTTTAATTAAAAATGATTTACAGGGACCGGACCGGTACCGGACTGGACCGGAACGGAACCGGAATGAATCGGGATGAACCGGTACCGGTATACCGGTACCAAATCATGGTACCGTTCCGTTCCGTGTACCGGTTCAATGTATCCCATCCCGTCCCGAATACTATCGGACCGGAACGAATCGGAATGGTACCGGAACGGACCGGAATGGTACCGGTACAACCCGTTCCGGTGCCCAGCCTTAGTCACGGCTGGTCCACTACAGCGGACCACATCCCACCACAGCGGCCTTGCCCTGGCGGCTTACACGGAGACAGAAGCTCGTAATTTGAGTTCCAAGCTCCCATTTCACAACATACCTTCAACCCTTGACATTCAGAAACTACCTTTTCACGCCAAGATCAGTTTCAGGAGTTCTACTTGCCCGAATTTGATTTCATAAAGTCGTACGGGTTCCTTAACGTCTTAGCTATCCACTCGTGTGATCAAATTCACAATTAGACCCCCCATTCATTAGCAAATTTCCCTAGAACTTACCTGACTCAGATTTCATCCAAATCTGGACTAGGCTACAATTTTTCAAGTCACTCCTCAAAAGTTTTCTGGCCCAAAATATCCTTCCCCATTGGTTTTTCCATAACGACAGGAACATGTTGTTACAGTTTGGCCTCTATTTTTTTAGGTACATTTGTATGTGCCAAGTGAGCCATACTTATAGCCTCTGCAAGATCCACACTAACTCTTTAGAGTTTAGGGGTCACAAAAGATTCGCGATTATGGCTGGGAGAATCTGTTTGGCCCAGTGATTTTTAGGACCACCCATAATGATTTAGTGAACCATAAACATATCCTCTAAAGGATCCACATGACTTTTTATAGCATTTATGATGTTGAAATATAAATTGAATATTTCTCAAATTTTTTAATGTGTATTAGTCCATGTATATTTTGGAATGTGACTAACCAACTATCTTTTTTACCTAATTTTTCTGGGACCATCCTTAATGATCTAGTTAACCATACCTATATCCTCTGTAGGATCCACACCACTGTTTTTAGCGTTTCTCGAAATAGGAATTCAATATTTTCTCAATTTTTTATATGTGTTTATAAGTACATGATTTTTTGAGAAAAGATATCACTATTAAAATAAAACTATTTTTCGAGGATGGGATACTTTTTCCCACCACAAAATATTGTTCGAGTATTTGAAAATATTTTGTCCACATATTTTTTCCCATACTATCAAAATGTCATTGGCAATATGAAACCTCTTTTAGAAATATTATTCTACAAAAGAATTATAGTGCTTCAATTCCCTTTGACAATCATTACACAATGTCAAAGTTCATTCCTAGAAGCATCTATTGCAGGCAAAAAATCACAAACTTTAAGTCTGTGGCCTTTTTTTGTATCACAATTAGACAACCACTTAATATTTAGAATAATAACAATAAAGACAAAAAAATTGTACAATTTGTTTCTATTTAACAATGAAGTTAATAGAAAACCAAAAGTACAACACTGACTTATAAGGTGAAGTTTTCATATTCTTCAAACCAATTGCATGGTCTAATTTATCCATAGTAGGAAACTATAAAAAAAATTAGTTTACAAAAATCAATCACAGTCAAATTTCACACGGAGTACAAAACTAAAAAAAATTAGTCTCCAAACAGAATAAAACATATCCTAATATTATCACATAGATATGCTTTTCTTTTCAAATAGCCTTCCAATATTAACATTTTGATATAGTATCTTATCCAAATAAAATATGCATATCTCATTCTGCAAGCTAAATATTTTTAAAGGCAACACTATTTGTCAAGGAAAATTCATTCAAAAACATATGATTTGCAGATCGTTTTCCAAATACACATGATAAATTTAACTTTTAGAAACTATTTTCCTCCTTAGATAAATAATAAGAAGGTTACCTAGTGTAATCTTTAACTGAAACACCACCAATTCTTCTGGTACATTCTCACTTCACCTTTGCTAAACAAGGCACCAAATTATGGGGAAGTAGTGCATTAATCTTCTACTTCCATGACCTGTTTTCCTCAATCAGTAGAATACAGGAAATACCAACAGTACAATAATTTCCTTAAGATTGGTGTTCATCCTAAATTCCTAAGATACTTAGACCAAAAACTTTGAAGAACTTGATAAAAAAATAACAAAGTTTAAATAATATTTTTGAAACTAGAAAATTAAAACCAGTAAAGAAAACAGAACTAGAAAAAGATTAGAAACAATGTACAAAATATTTTTCTTAAAGAAGAAAATCGAGTCCACTGAATGCACAGTGTCCCCTTAAGGAAATTATTCCCCTCAAGTACATGAGGTTAATGGAATATATCCTCCCAGGATAATACGATCTTACTCGTTGGTGTATCGATACCTATAACCACGGTGTGAGCGAACTACTCAACGACAGTAAAGTACACTTAGAATACTAGATTTAGTAATAGTAGAAGAAGTCCAGAAAATTGGTTCTCTTAAAATGAGAGGACATCCCTCTGTTTTTAGACAACAAAGAATAGTGTGAAAAGGTCCTTTTATAAAAGTCACAACTGCTCATAAAAATCACAATTTTTCATTAAAGTCACAAGTCTTCATAAAAGTCACAACTCTTCATTTTCTATTCATACCTTTTAAAACCAACAATAAGTCACTATTATATTAATGTAATGAAGTGATTAGTGTTTATATTCAATAATAATAATAATGCATGTTAAAAAATGTATAGACACCCGAACTAGAAAACTCAATAAGAAATCCAAAATGTTCTCCACTTAACTAAATATCATACGCAAATTGTTTTAAATCACATATTTCGTAAAAGGAGAAAAAAAAACTGAATAATCTTCCTTCCATCTTTTTTTCTTCATCCTACCTCATAAGAGATTCAGGTACCTTCATTACCAATTAATTGGCGATGATTGAGGATAGTGAACTCGCCGGAGCTCATTATACCTCTGAAGATCGAAATTATGAAGTTTCATAAGTCGTTTTTGCTTTGTACTAAAACGTGCCTGGAAGAAGCCTTGAAAAGAAGGCTCTTTGGATGTCTTAAGAAAGAAAAAATAAGTAGCCATGAAATATGTTGATGTGAGGTAGAAACAAATTGGTTCCATAACATCCCATGTTAGGTCCCAAAAAGTGAACCTCATGAACGCTGCTGTTTGAATTACCAAACATCCAAGTCCAAACCACATTTCTTTACGTACTAATGATTCTGCTTTCTTGTCAATTGATGTTTTTTCCTTTTCCATTTGTTCAAGCTCCTTCATTCTTTCTTTGTCATGATTTGGTTTGTGCATTGGCAATAGTTCTTGCATGGCTCGAACTACCTGTGACAAAAAAGAGGACTAAAAACTTTACACAAACGTACTCCTTTGATCACCTCACACTCAGAGTCAGATAGATGGATTCAAGATTTTGAAGCTTAATGATTTCTTTAGTTATTTCAAATTGATATTTAATAATAACATTGGGGTCACAAGAACATATTTAATGAATGTTTTACTATGCATACAATTTGTGCAAAAGCTTTGAGTTCCCGCAAACCCCAACTTTCCAATTTCTACTTCAAAATGATGTTTATACGATATTCAATTAAATTGTTTGTCTTAATTTGACTTGCATAAAATCTTGTGTTCTTAAATATATTATGTGGATGTTGAAATTTAATTTTTTCAAAATTTAAAAAATGTATCCTTTCGTAACGAACTAAAAAGTTAGGAATACATCTTTTTTATTATGAAGATGTTAATTAGGGTTTTGGGGTCTTTGAAAACGGTCCAACTTATCCACTATTTAGTTACTATTTTATCAGTCAAAGGATAGTTTCTTTGACCAGAAGGTTTTCAAATATTTTAAATTGATAATCATAGTAATTTATAGCATTTTAATATAATTTCTAATTATGTAAATTTATTTATTTAAAAAAAGTTAAAGATTCTAAAGATAAGAAAATAAATTAAACCAACCTGATCAGGGCGGAGAAAAACAAGGTTTCCCAAAACAATAACATCTCCCGATTCATCCATCTTCTTAGCAAACTGAAGGCCTTGATCATCATCCAAACATGTTTCCTTACAAATTTCAATAAATTCAGCGAACAAAATCCAACTCTTCTCCATTTTCCTTAGCCTCGATTTCAACATTTCAAGTTGCGACAACTTTAAAGTCTTTCTCGCATCTGTCATGGACCCCACATCCAATGACTCCTGTCGCGGTGGGGGCCGCGGAAGCAAGAGTACCTCATTAATTAATCTCACCTTATCTCTCGAAATAATGTCCATCCCATGTAATTTATGGCGGAGTTTTTCTCCCATGGCTAGTGACCCTTGGATCTCCGGCGAGGATACCATTGATTGGTAAAGAAATCGCCGTGGATCCATATTTTTATCGGTGGATTTTGCTTCCACCATGGTTGAAGAAGTAATACGACATGCTAAGGTTAGAGATGGAGCACTAAATTTGTATGCACTAAAAATACGCTGAGGTAGTGTTTTCTTGAACGCCATTGATATATATGGATTGTAATAAATTAGTGTTGGTCATAATATATATATATATAGTAAAAAAATTAAGAACCTTGTGTGAGGAGGTGAAATGTTTGTGAACTCCATGTTATATATAGGTCTAGGTTCATAATGAAAACACTATTTATATCAAGGCTATTTTAGGATAATTGGACAAGATTAGTAAATGAATAAAATTGGTGACGTCATACATATTTAATAAAATTATGGTGACCTCTTGTTAGCAAGATCGTGTCGCCACATATATCCAAGGTGGCAAAGAGTTGGGGACTTCAATATAGTCGGAAGTTCGATCTAGTTCCTCCACCAACGTGAACTCCAGTTAGATTCAGATATGCTACACTTTTTGAACATCAAAACAATTTTATGATATTTGAAGAAGTATATTTGTACGTTTTTTAAAGTTGTTCCTATGTTCTAAATGTTAGTTAATATGTACTAACAAATACTTATAATAATGACTTTGCAGAAATAAAAATAATAAAGTTTAAAGCATGTAAAAAAAAATAGAAATTAAAAACATCAGTAGAAGTTAATGACTTAAAAACATATAAGGATCTATAACAATAGAATGAAATAAAAAGGGCAAAAAAATCCAACTCACTGAATGCACAGTGTGTCCTTAAGGAAATTATTTTCTTTTAATACTCGAGGTTTACAGAAATAGATCATCTCAGGATAGAAGATTCTATTCACTAGCGTTCCAGAAAAGTCATTTAAAAATAGTGGAAATTTTAAATAAAACAGTAGAGACGTTTACACAATGGGTCGTGCGGATTCACTTTGGATTGGGTCGTTTCAGGTTGGCCACTTATTAATTAATTATTTAATACTTAATTAAATAAATAATTAAATAAAATTTTGTCCAAAAAATAATTTCTCGATTATTTTCCAAAGCCAAAATCAAAGGCAAAGTCGTAACCGAGCGAGCGAGCAACGACGATGGCGTGAGGGGGTCCCTCTTTCCAACTCATTTAACAACTAGTAGAAGTTTTCCTTATTTAAACACTTGAAATTTCGGTTCCACCACCAATGAGGGTGAATTGTTTTTTACTAAAGTATAAGAGACTACTTCATATTTTCTCCTTTCATCTTCCCTCCATTTCCCATTAATTCTTACTATATACCCAACAGTTCTCCACACAAATGGATAATGGCTATAACGTAAAGAAATGCACGGGCGAGTGCGTACTTTACAAGCGAGGATCAGTTGCATCCGGATAAGTAGGTTTCCCTTTGAACTTTCCGTAGAACATGTGTCGAATATACTCGGTCAATCGGTAGATTTGATATCTTTGAACCATTGAGCTTTGATTTATACCTAGACAACCATATGTCACACAATCAACTGTTTATGGTTCTTAAGATTGTGTTCGTTTCAGTTATGAACACCTCCTAAATTAGTGAGTGTATATATTGAGAATAGGCTTTTCACAATGATTCTTTTTTAAACGGTTTACACTTCACACTCATATAGATGGTTAACTGTGTGTTATCGCATAGATACACTATTTGGTCAAATCTTCCAAATTTAGCAAATCATTAGAAAATTTTAAGTTTTACTAACTCGTTAATAAGTCATAATGTTTTATACTTGTTCCTAAACATTGTCTTCATCATGAGAATTGATTGAGTTGTTTGACAATGTCTAACCGTCATTCACAACTTTGTTTGATCTGCTTGTACCTAGCTCTTGGGATCCCAAGTCTGCTAGGTAGAGTTACCACCATGATGACTTGTTCTAAGTCTTAAACTCATTCCCTTAGATGATCTTTCAACTGTCTCTCTAGCTAGACATTTTGTTAGTGGATCTGACACATTATCAATACTTTATATAGTTAATCGTAATAATTCCACTAGAGAGCGGTTGTCTTACGGAATTATGTCTTCGTCATATGTGATGAGATTTTTCGTTGTAGAAGATGCTCTCTTCCCTACCTATTGGTCCTCGACTATCACAGTATATGCATATAGGTTCCATGGGTTTGGGCCAGAATGGAATGTCTTCTAAAAAAATTATGAGTCATTCAGCTTCTTCACCAACCTTATTTAAAGAAACAAATTCAGATTTCATTGTAGAGCGAGCGATACATGTATGTTTTGGATGATTTCCAAGATACTACTCCTCAACCAAAGGTAAATACATACCCATTTGTGGATTTTTACTTCATTGGACTCGGTGATCCAATTTGCATCACTATATCCTTCAATCATGACAGTATATTTATTACTCCCTCTGTCCTATTTTATGTGACACTTTTTAGATTTTGAGATTCAAACAAGTCTAACTTTGACCGTAAATTTTTCATAGATCTTTTAAACATTTTAAATTATCAATTGTTGTGACTTATAGTACTTTTTACGTAGTTTACAAATATATAAATTTTATTTTAAAAAAACTACAGATTTCATGCTCAAATTTCCGGTCAAACTTAAACTATTTGACTCTCGAAAAATGAAAAGTGACAAATAAATTGGGACAAAGGGAGTATAATGCAAGGCATAGTGTTGTGTATGTTTCAGATATCCCAAAACTTGCCTCATTTCCATCCGATGAGTTTGGTTAGGATAACTTAACAGGTGCTAGACGTCATGTTAAGTGTTTGATCAGGAAATTGAAAATCAAGATAGGGGAGAATCTAAAATAATTTACCGTATTCGACTAAGGTAGAACTTTAGTTGGCTTCTCCTGTAAGTTAGTATCACAGATAATCGATAATCAAGGTGCATAAAGTAAATTGAGATAAGATGCTTTTATACTTTTTTAGATTATCGATGTGGTGTCTAGTTCAGTCTCCTTCAGTTACAAGGATTTCCTTAAGACTTTTTGGATAAACTTGTCAGTATAGATGATTTTGATATCGATTATATCTTATTCAAGTAAGATATATCCTAGCTTTTTTATCTTTTCTTTTATAATTGTAGTTTTTGCATGCAAGATTACTAAGTACTGTGAAAACTGAAAGGAAACATATAGTGTACAAGTTCAAAGTGAAGTGCATAGTGTACTTCTTCAGATTAAAAAGGCATCTTACAAGTCTCTTCAGCGAGACTCTTTATGTTCTAAAATAAAAACCCAAACGAGTTTCTTCAAATGATTTCTTTATTGAGGATGAATGATAGTGCACGTCCATATTAGATATGTATGTGTTGAGGTCTATGATTATATCGACCATCTATCTTCGTGATTTATTTCTTTCCAAATTTGTGGTCGATCTTCTGTCTTTTTTCTTTCCTTTGGCAATCGTGATTTCCTTAGATCGGATCCATGATTAAGGACATCTTTGTTGATTATCTTTCCTTCTGGAAATCCAGCTTTATCTTTTGATTTTCTTTTCTTGTAGATGATCCAATCTTTGCGCTGGCGAATTTAATTAATTGTATAGTGATTCAATCCTTTCCAAATCTTGCACGTGAACTTCATTCCTTTAATCTTAGTCATTTGTTTTTTCTGCAAAGTAATCTCTCCCTCTTTTTGATAATGACGGATAAGTTGCACAAATAATACTTTTATACTTCGCTGTTTAATTTCTAAACTCCCCTTGATGAGTGCATAGGAATCCATCCAGTGATTTATATATCCCCTTGCTAGTTGCCTGGATTATTCTCTACCCCTTTTGTTACGATCTAAATTGCCGTGAGAGGTACCCACACTAAATCCTCCTCGACAAAAGAATCAATTACCCAAGACAACTTTTATCTTAACCAATTAAACAACTAAAATAACAGTCTCATTAATTAAAGTCAAGATTCACCTAAATTCGTCAATAGTAAAACTTGTGAAAATAATTCACCTAGAATATGAAAGTCGTGTACCAAAACATCTAACATGATCTAGAGTACAGGGATGCAACCCCAAAACAAAGATATATCTAAGTCCAAATAATGAACTAGAAAGAAAAGATGAACCCATGACAGCACAAAAAAAGCAGCTCTCCCTTAGTTTCAGTACTATATATGTTGACCTGAATGGTTAGTTGTTTTTTCTTGTCGTGCAAGTTTATCCATGTGATTTAGGGGTAGTGGTGATGTTGTGAAGATGAGAAAGTTGACATGCAGATCTTAAAGAGGATGAATTAATGATTGGACTCCATTATTGATAGTGGTAGGCTTATGTGCATTGATGCATATTTCCTTTAAAAGTAACTTTCGTTCTCTGCGAGAAAGAGTAACGTGATGGTTGATGCGAACTTCATGATCATTTCAATTGAAGCAGTGTGATGATTCTGTTGGAAGAGATCGAGATTGTAAACTGTTGGGTCATGGGACTCATTGTCATATTTGGTATTAATGGATGTTAGATCGTTCTCTTTTGGTATTAATTGTTTTGGAATCAATAGCTTTTGCAGTTGGGAGGTGGGTTTTCGGGATTGCTTTTGTAGTTTCTAGCTAGCTTTTCATTTTTCCTCCATCTCCAGGCGTTTGTGGTGTCAAGAAACTTACCTGTGGTAGAGTGCGATATTTTTCGTATTTGCTTGCTTCCACTTTAATTTGTTTGTATTTATGGCAGGAGCTTTATTTTTTTTGTTTGTTACTTGTTCTTCTTTTGATATTAATTAGGGGTGTTTGTTTGTTATTTATTTTGTTAAGGTATGTGTGATTTCTACTCATATGGTTTGTTCAGCTACACATGATTTGTGGGATCTGATTATCAGTTTAATTTATTCTTGCTTAGCGTCCCCTCTACGTGGCAGAGGTACATGCATCTATTTTACCCAATTGGTTCCAATATTTGTGTGTCGTAAAACTCTGTTGGAAGTTGTGTGGTCGGATAGAGGAGTACTCAAAGTTCCACTACTGGGAACAACTGTCATCTTCTGCTGGTGACGGTACAAGGGCTCTGCGGACTAGCTTGTTTATCCTCACCTTTGAGAATTGAATCATTCCTCTAGTCTTCTTCACCTTTCCCAGCGAGGGCACACGATAGAAATCACGCTAACGTGCATTGGAATCTTAGAGCTGCTAGCATTTTGTTAGTATATGAGTACATTTTAAATTTAAAAACTACTACTATTATTATTATTTTGACTTTTAATCTATCAAAGTGCTTGAGTCGCCCATGTCTAAACTGACAAAAATCAAACGATATTGAGGGATAATGCATTCATGATATATAGACTTACCAATTTACCATATACAGATCATAAATATAAAAAAAAAAAATCCATTAATAAACATCGAGACAGAAAACTTTTTAAAAAAAATCCTAACTGATCTCTTTCTTCACTTACATACCTATTAGCCGCCATAGGATACATACTCATATTATTTTAAAACATATATTTTTCGTAAAACATTGAAGTATCTTCCTTCCATCTTCTATTTTAATTTCCATCCCTACCTCATAAGAGATTCAGGTACCTTCATTACCAATTAATTGGCAATCGATGATTGAGGATAGTGAGCTCTCCGGAGCTCATTATACCTCTGAAGATCGAAATTATGAAGTTTCATAAGTCGTTTTTGCTTTGTACTAAAACGTGCCTGGAAGAAGCCTTGAAAAGAAGGCTCTTTGGATGTCTTAAGAAAGAAAAAATAAGTAGCCATGAAATATGCTGATGTGAGGTAGAAACAAATTGGTTCCATAACATCCCATGTTAAGTCCCAAAAAGTGAACCTCATGAAAGCTGTTGTCTGAATTACCAAACATCCAAGTCCAAACCACATTTCTTTACGTACTAATAATTCTGCCTTCTTGTCAATTGATGTTTTTTCCTCCTCCATTTCTTCAAGCTCCTTCATTCTTTCTTTCTCATGATTTGGGTTGTGCATTGGCATTAGTTCTTGCATGGCTTGAACCACCTGTAGCCACACACAAAGACGGATTTAAAATTTGAAATTTATTAATTTTTATAATTATTTCAAATTAATATATATAGTAATAATTAGGTTCATAAGCAAATATTTATCAAGACAAACTACTCATTCCTTCCCAAAAAGGTTGTCTTAGTTACTATTTAAGCGGTCAAAAGGATATTTTCTTTTGACAAAAATACTTTTTTAAATATTTATCTACTGTAACTCAATACTATATTTTAGTTTCTATAAATTTTATTTGAAAGAAAATTAAAAAAATTATGTCTGAATTCACATCAGCCATTAATCGCTCTAACCTTCATTCTGAATCAAGACACTCAGAGGGGATACAATCGAAAATGGTACCGTTAAAGTTGGATGGAGATCGATGTAAAATAAATAAATTAAGAAGATAAATTAAACAAACCTGATTAGGCCGGAGAAAAACAACGTTTCCCAAAACAATAACATCACCCGAATCGTCAAGCTTCTTAGCAAATTCCATGCCTTGATCATTATCCAAACATGTTTCCTTACAAATTTCAATAAATTCAGCAAACAAAATCCAACTCTTTTCGATTTTCTTTATCCTCGATTTCAACGTCTCAAGTTGTGTCAATCTTAAAATCTTTCTCGCATCCTCTACAGACTCCGGTCTCGGTGGGGTCCGTGGAGGCAAGAGTGTTCCATTAATTAATCTCATCCTATCTCTTGTAATAACGTCCATCTCATGTAATATCTCGCGGAGTTTTTCTCCCGTGGGGATTAGTGACCTTTGGATCTCCAGCGAGGATGCCAATGATTGGTGAAGGAATCGCCGGGGATCCGAGGTCGTTGTAATTTTATCATAACTAAAAGATTTTGCCTCCACCAAGGTTGATGAAGCAATACGGCATGTTGTTAGAGATGGAGCACTAAATTTGTATGCACTAAAAATACGTTGGGGTAATGTTTTCTTGAACGCCATTTTTTTTTGGTTTAGTTTTTTTGGGTCATAATACAATAAAAATAAATTAAGAACCTTATTTGATGAGGATAAAGGTTTGTGAACTCTATGTATATATAGGTCTCCCAAATGGTGATAATGAAAAAACTAATCAAGGGTATTTTAGTCCAATTATACAAGATTATGACTATATAAGGACGTGGACTTGAGTAGATTATTTGTCATGATTAACACGTGGCAATTAAATAAAGCTTTTAAAATTAAGGATAAAATTGTTGATGTAAGACAGATTTAAGAAAATTATGGTAACGTTTTTGTTAAACAAGATCGTGTCGCCACATATATCCGATGTGGCAGACTTCAGTTAGTTGAATTGTTTCATAAATTTACTTAGCCTTGGAAAATCGATATTGGCGCACACGAAGAGGAACCTACTACAAGTTTACAAAAGGGTTTCATTCATATGTATTGTTACATAATATTGATAAATTGCAGTTGTTCATATTTCTTATCGAGCTAAAAAAATATTCAATTTCGACCCGCTCAAATCTTTTTTCAACAGTTCCAAATATATATGAGCTCTTCTTCCTATTTTGAGTATATTCGAAAGCATTCAGAATTTTGAAGTTCGAATTTCGAAGCTCTTCGACGATAGATTTCAATGGACATCAGCCCAAATAACTTTTTAAACGACTCAAAATTTTAGATATGAGTTTCTTGCAATATCTCGATTCTTTGATATTATTCACTTAAAATACTCCGAATTTACAACCAATCAAATTTTAAAATTTGAATTGCAAAGTGTTTCATAGATTTTGTGCTGGGAAAAAGTAGAAACAACGTAACGCATACATACATGTACATCTAAAATCTAAGGAATATGCAGATTAAGAGGAGTCGTGCAATTTACAAGAATGGCCTTAAATCGTGCTTGTCTTGTGTTTTTTACTTTGATGCCTCTGATTATGTGCAAAATTTAAATTAAATTCAATAAGTGTTTTTACTTTTAACATTGAAGAATTTTTATTTTATTTTATTTGTATAAAATGATGAAATATTATATCTTAATATGCATCATTACAAGACCGTGACAGAGCATGACTGTTGTTATTATTTTGAATGTGGGAAAGGGGTTGATTACAATATTTATTAATACTAGTTGTTGATATGCCTATCAAAAAGAATTTCAACTTTGTCTGCTTCCAACTTCCTAACGGCAAATAAGGGAGGAATTACTACATCAAAAAGGATTTTTTCATTTATAACCTTTTATTAGAGCTTATAATTCAGCCCTAAACATTATTTGTTGAGATTAAATTACCCATAAATCCTAGTATCCAGTTCACATCCCTATCCCTTATTACCCTCCCTATACCTCCTTTTCTAATTATTTTCAATTACGAAATCCGTTGGTGTTTAGGTTAAATGTTGTGGCCGGTGGATTACCCATATATAGGTAAATACGAATAATACGATTAAAATTTAGTACTATTCATTTTTAAAGTCATAAAATATAATTAACTTGTTGAACTTAAACTTTTACCAGTAAAAAAAATTAGGAATTAAAAGATTAACACAGTTCCGATCATTGTCATCCATTGTTTCATAATGTATTGTATCATTATATTGTATTTTACGATAGATACACTGTTTGGATAAACTGTATGGTTTATTGTTGTTCAATAACATTTTTATTGTTTTGTTTGACTGAATCGAATTGTATTGTAATTTATAAATTGACTAAAATGTCCTCAATTATTCTAAATATTAATTTATCAATAATTACTAATAAAATAATAATACTGTCGTGCATATTTTTTTTAAGTCATATGAGAATAACATAAAATTATATCGTTAGTTATAATTATATTATCAAATATTATCATCAAGTTTATATCTAGACTGCTTCAATTATATTTTTTGAAAAATCATATAAAGAATATGTTGAAAGAGACAAACATATGAAAAAAAAGGAAAGAACATATGCTTAGGGGTGTACAAAACCGAACCGAGAACCGAACCAAACCGCAAACCGAGTCAACCCGAAAAAAAACCCGACTAGTGGTTTGGTTTGACTTGGTTTGGTTTTAGAAAAAAAAACCCGACTATATTTGGGTTGGTTTGGTTTTAACTAAAAAAAACCAACCCGAGACCAAACCAACCTGAATTTATATATATAATTTTAAAATTTTATTTTATACATAAAAATATTTACTTTGATATAATTTTTAAATATTTCTTATACTTTTCCATAGTTTTTAATATTTAATATATTATTTCAACTTTGAAACTTAGAATTATGAATGGGCCATTAAAGATTATAGTCCACATATGTTGGTAATTATAATAAGCTTAAATCAAAATCAAATTAATACTAATGCAAAAAGAAAATCAATTCAACACTAAGAATGACAATAATATTGAATATTTGTTCTTTAGTTTTACATTGGTTTAGACAATTAAAATACATAATCTAATTTTAATTTCCTTTAATATTTAGTCATGTAACTAATACTTATTAAACTTAATTTTAGCATGATTTAGTACTTTTAAATTATGATCATTTTCATTATGACTTGTTAATTTGCAATATTTGTTTTACACGATTTCATTATTATTATTTTTGTTGGATATTTTAGTGTCATTAATCATATCATATTGTGTTTTTTTTTTTTAAGAAACACCTTAGATAGTTGTATTTTGGTAGGACTAAAGAAATATTTGAAGTACAAGTAAATTATATGTTGTGTATGAATACTTTACCGGAAAAACCCAAAAATCCGAAAAACCCGAAAAAACCGAAAAAACCCGAAGTTGAAAAACCCGAGTTTTATTGGTTTGATTTGGTTTATAAATTTAAAAATCCGACACAAATGGTTTGATTTGATATTTGAAAAACCCGAATCAACCCGGCCATGTACACCCCAACTTTATTTATTTACTTATTCATCGATATCAAGATTAACAATAAAGATTGTTATTTTTTGAACTTTATAATATTTATACTTTTAAAAAGAATTAACTTTAAAGATAAATTGGAATACTTTTTTAATTAATTCTATCTTGATTTTGTAAATTGATAAGTAATTTGAAATAAATATTTTTACTAATGTGGGATGAAGGGAGTACATATATTGTTTTTCAAGTTTTACTCTTGACATTTATTATTTATTCTTCAAATCATTTCTCAGTATATGCTTAAAAAAAGAAGAAAGAGGAAGGACAAACAACCAAACCTAGAAGGAGACAAAGCAAAGTAGTAGTTGTTGGGTAGGAGGTTTGAGTGAGATAAAATAATATAGAGTAAATGATAAAATAGTATTATGAAATATTAAGTAAGGACATAATTGAAAAGAAATTTATAAGTACCAATGGGAACACACCAAATCAGTTGTTCCATAAAATGAGGGGTTTCATTGTTATGTTACAACGGAATTTAACAATACAATACAATGCATTTTAAGTAACAATCAAAACAAACAATATTGTATATATGATAACAATACAATACAATACAATGGGTAACAATGATAAAAAATAAAGTGTAAGATAGTACCACTATTATTCACGAGTTTAATTTTTTCTTAAGAGAAATATATATTGGTCAACGTCCTACATGTTGTTCTCTTTAGTGTGATCTATCCCAACTAGTAGGTCGAAATAGAGTAGTAATTAATTTCTCTGTTTACTATTTCAAATCAATTGTGACTAAATGAGAATGATGACAATTCTTACTCACAAGTCTACTCAACGATAAAAAGGTGCACATCTTTATTGTTGGTTTAGATGGTAAATTAGAATAAATCTTACTTCAAAAGTCAAATTAATTGTAATTAAATGAAAATGATGACTGCTCAACCGTAAAAGGTGCACACCTTTCTTATTGGTTTAGATAGTAAATTTGAATAAATTCTTAGTGAAATCTTGAAAAAATATCATGTTCTAGAATTAGTAGAATGATATTCAATGGTTATAGAACCCACCAAATAAACACAATCATAGATAACAAAACTAGGTGATCGATCAACTAGCTAAGAAGGTAAGGACGGAATCAAATAGAATTTTTGTGAAATGGAAAACAGCCCCATCTTTTGTTATGACGACGCCATGAAAACAGACAATGAAAAATAAAAAGATTTTGTTAATCTAGATAAGAATCCCTATGTATTAGATGTATCAAAAACAGTATTATAAGTAGAATTGTTGCTATTAGCCCTATTATTAGTAGATTATGTAAGTATGTAACCATTCTATTTGTATGGATGCATATTAGATAGGTATAAAATACCTCTTTTTAACCAAAAAAAAAGAAGAAGAGCAACTTTCACATATAGCAAACATAAAAATCATATTTGTATGTTATAGTTATAGTTTGCATAATTGCGCTCCATAACAAATATTTTTATGTTTGCTATGGAAAAAAAAGGGAGGGAGGGGGCATTAAAACCAATGATCTGTTGTAAATTTGTCCGGCATGTCACAACAAATTAATGGAGAACTTGAAAACATCTAGTGTGTTAATCATGGTGAGGAAAAACAGATCAAATCATATTAATTCTCTCAAAATCAACAATAAAAAATTAATCAAAGTTTAAGAGTACCAACAAGTCCGCCTATTATTACTCTCACTGTGATCAATCAAGACACATAAAAGATTATTATTTTTAAATGGCTTAAGTTATTTGCGGCCCTTTAAAGTTGTCTGCATAATTCATTTAGACACCTCAACTAGGGTTAATACTATTAAACACCTCTACCAACCAAGATTTGAACCGTTTGAGCATTTTTTGCCTACATGGCAAAACGTTTGTGAGTCACACAAAAGGGTCACGTGACTCCTTTTTTCTCCCATCTAAAAGATGCATTTAACTCCCCCAACGTTAAAAGAAACGGTCATTTCTCTTCTTCCCTAACTCCATTGTTATTGAACTCTATATCCCCAATTTTGTCTCTCTTCTTTTTCTAAATCCCGAACATTTCTCTTGTTTCTCGCTTCTAAATCAAACCCTCTTCTCCATTTTCTCTTTTATGAAATGT